TCTTGCAAGGAACCTGTTCCATGGACTGTCATAATAATAATAAACAATAATTTTTATTTATAATATAATCTTTTTTATAATTCTAATAATCTTTTGCATAAGATTTCAACTCTCTAAATTGATTGTACGCTGTACGATTTTTCACCTTTAAAATTGTAATTTTTTCCAAACAATTTGGACTCAAAACCAGCACTGAAGAATTATCTATCAAACAAAAAAGAATTTCATTGAAATTGGATGAAAACTGTGAAAACACTTAAACAACATCTGATCATACACACACACACATACATACACACACACACACACACACACATACATACACACACGTTTTGAGAATTATAGCTATAGATGGACTTCTGTATCCTTGTCTATAAAAATTCAGTCACTCACTCTGGTTTTCAGTTAGGATTCCGTTATCTCTCTTAGTGGTGTTAATTTATCCCACAATCTATAGGGACAATGCCATCTGTGAAGAAACACTAAGATTTTGATATCAGTCAATCAAAATTTTCAAGGCTGAAGTGAAAAATGATCTAAAAAACATGAAGATTCAGGGCAAACCTTCAGTGAATACATTCAAAGCATTTAAAAGAGTAGTATAAAAAAAGGTTTCATTTATACTAAATAAGGAAATAAAAAAAAAATGGATGTATGGAGACCTATAATAATCATGATTAATATGAATTTGAGTTACAATTTATCATTAATTGAAAAAATATGATTGACAGAAGATAATGAGTGAATATTTTGGCAAGCTAATCTTCCATAAGTATCTCCTCAGGCAATAACAATCAAGACTGTTACCCCACATAATCAATTGTAATGAAAGCAAATTATATTTTTTGTGATTTTAATATCATTTTACTTAGGATGCAAGGGGTTAGTGAGTGCAAAAGAATATGAGAAAATGAAAAACATTATTAAGGGGAGAGAACAAGAAAAGAACAGGAATTAAGAAGACAGAAGATAATGATTGGCATATCATATAAATTTTTGAAGTTGACTGGGAAGCAAGAAGCCAAAAGATAGTTCTACAACTGAGAAGTACAAGAGAAAAAAATTGTTAATATAGAACTTAGTTACATCTAGTAATTTAAACTGTAAAATGATGAGACCTAGTTGCCAATCTAGTACTGCATTTAAATACGTCAATTCAATGTACAAATGTCTGATAGACCAAGTGACAGAAAGAGAGAACAAACAAAAAAAATAAAGCTTCCCTGTCATGATTTAACTCGTTGCCTTCAACCATATGGTTTGTAGTAATTCAGATTCTGGGAAAGGTACTAATCCACTTAATAGGTCCTGCTTTGATCTAATGTTCTCCTTTATGAAATAGGAAGCTCCTGTAAAAATGGGAAATTAATTCAAATCTTGTGAATGTCTACTTAGTTCAGAATTTCTCTAATTTGTTTATATAAATACTTCCTTTTTGACAAGCAGCAAAAAAGCCTAACAACAATAAAATAAAAACATGTGAAAGTATTTAATTATACTTACAAGCAATAATAACGACATACAATATTTACTGCCTTAAATCCGGTGGCAGATTTAGAATTGGTTCTATGGACAAAAGTTGAAGGTGTATGGATGGTGCATTAAATAGTGGCAGGGAATGAGAAATCAAAAAGTAGAGTTAAAATTTTCCAGTTGTGTTTGTTATATTCACTTACCCTTGGGAAAGATATGAATCCATCTACTCCCCCCAGCTATGGATTAAATAGTACAATGTGTATCAGGGGAGGGGATCACTTATTCCCCCCAAAAATTGTTAATGGAATATACACTTTCTTCAAAAAAATTGTTCTTACAATCCAAAATATGTTTTGGCTTTAAATAATATGTAAGAGGTTGATAAGCCTTAAAAAAAAAAAAAATCAATCAAGAAAAATGTTGAGAGTATCATAGAGAGTGCATGCAATGAATAAGGAAGTTTTAAAGAGAATAAGTTATTAGAGTGAAATTGTTGCTAATAATCAGGAGACAAATTTTAGTAACGCATAATAAGGAAAGACAATTTGTAGAACTTAACACTCACAAGGCACATTGAAGTAAAGAGAAGCAGGGGAAAACATAACTTACTTGATAGGTTTGATCAAATTGATAGAGGAATAAATATAAAATCAAAGCAAATATTGCTGAGAACCATTAACTAAAGAGATATGACATATTGAGAGAGGGTAGGAAGGGAGAGGAGAGAGAGATAGACAGGGAGAGGGAGGTAAAAGAGGGGGGAGGAAGGGGAGCAGGAAGGGAGAGAGAGGATAGAGGGGAGAGAGAAAAAGAGAGAGAGGTGGAGGGAGTGATTATTAGTAATGATTGGGTAAGCTTTAAATTTTTAATCCAAACTATTTTTCTAATTTTTTCCCTGTATTGGCAAGATCCAATTAAATGGATAACCTTTTATATGATAGTGAATGCTGAACAATTTCATCAAAAAATGAGAAATGACTGATAATATAACAAAGTATATGACAAATGAATAGGTTTCAAGGATTGATTTGCTTTTTACGGTTTATCAACCCTTTTCAGGTTATTTAAAGCATGAAAATATTTTTAAAGAAGACAAATTTGGTGGGGGGAATAATTGCTTAGTGATACTAGTCTTACTAGTTAACCCATAGCTGGGGTGATAAGATGTGGATTCATACCTTTCCCAAGAGTATTTGTGCAAAAGTGAATATAATGACCTCAATGGAATTGGAACTCGGCTCTCTGATTTAACAATTTCAAGCCATTATCCATTACACCACCTGCATGTCCAAGATTTCAGCACCTGGTATTCCCAAAGGGTCACCCATTTCAATACTGACCAGGTTCGATGTTGCTTAACTTCAGTGATTGTACAGGTGAATAACAACTACAAATCAACTGTTGTTAACAATCAGTAAGAGACAGTTGGAAGTTTTGGGACACATCATTAAGAAAGGAAAATTTGGAGAATTTAAGTCTCTCAAAGTGCATCAAAGACAATATAAGCAGAGCAAAGTAGCAGGTATTTTATTTTAAGAATATAAATGGAGGAATGGATATTGAAAACCCAAAGCGTGTTCATATAGGAGCAGATATTGCTGAAAACAGAAAAAAAAAAAAGGAAGTTGTAGAGAATCATAATTACCTATATCCTGAAGGGATCTTTCAAAAAAAAAAAAAAGGTTCCTAAAGTATATAAAGCTTGGAGATCCCTTGTTAAAAAAAAAAGAAAAAAAAAAAGAATTACATCAGAATTTAAAAAAAAAAAATACACATGTACATATATATATATACACAAATATTTTTATGATCAGTTGTTTGTGATTAGAGGGCGAGAGACCCTGCACACATTGCAAATGATACAGATACAGGAGCTGCTCTTGAAGTACCCCACCATGCAGTTCTATGACATGTACGATGTGACAAAGCCACTTGAAGTGTACTGATACTTGGATTGTCTCTGACAGCCTGTAGAATGTATTCTTCATGGCCAGGCATATGAGCAGATCTATGTCTTCCTTGATCATAGTTTGTGGTGTTACAGATCCTGTCTCAGCAACATGGTGATAAACAGCAGCAAAGTTGGATGACCCAGTAGCATTTGGTCTGGAAACAAAATATGATACAGCCATGCAGCCCTGTGTCCATTACCATGTGCACAGCTGTGTGTAAAAATCATATCTGCCTGTTCATGATATGAATGTCCTGCTATTGTTAAATGGAACACTTCTCATTTAACTCACTACTACACACATTAAACATTGAAGACAGACTAGCCACAAATGTACACAAATGACAAATGTAACCTAGTCTACATGAGAACACGGCGTCATCTAGTGTAAACTTTCTCTAAACTTTTATATGGACTTCTGTCCTTGTTTTGGTATGAGGAACCCACCCCAAAGTTTGTAAAAGTATTTTTGATATACCCTATATAACTTAGCAAGCACAAAGCACCAGCAGACCGCAAGAAATACAGAGAGTGTAGCAGAGATAGAAACCAGTGAATTCCAGAAAGATCCAGAAAAAAGTAGAACATTACCAATAGGAAACAGCTCTTCTCAGCATGCATAGCAAAAAGCTGAGGGACGAATCCACACCAATATTTACCTAGACAGTTTTGCAGACATGTTCAGCAAGTAATACTTTCCTCATATCTTTTGCCTACCACCTCTCAATATCCTAAGGACACACTTGCACAGTAAAGTCAGGAAAGGACACAAGTTCTCTTATAAGATACCCACTTTCCACTGAAACTTTTTTATATGCATTCCTTCCTTTATTGAAATGTTCACAACCTTACACAATCTACAGTGCACTATATAACAATAGCTATCCACATTGCCTCAGACTAGATACTGGGCTTTTATCATAATCATGTAAGCAGCATTCTTTACCCAATACATTTAACAATGAAATCCCCTATCAATATATGAATTATTTACTTGAAAGTAAGCCAAATGCGGCTTTAGTTCAAGTGTTGTGAAAACAATGACAAAGATGAAAAAAATTTGTCAAATTTGTGGATTTGTGATAACTTCTGAGAATTTCTCAATCTCTATAAAAATAATAAGAAAAAAGTCATATATCCATAACAGCTGTTTTCATTTTTTTCCTAATAACTGTAGCTGAAACATTTTTAGAAGCAGTAACACATTTCAAAAATAAAGATTGGAGACTGTAGTCAGTTTTCAGTTCAGTAAAATATTTTTTTTATTCAGCTTATTTTTAAATGACAATTATATTGATTGATTCATTTTCAATGGCTTATCAACCCTTTGCAGGTTATTTAAATCCAGGAAATATTTTTTTAGATTGTAATTTTTTTTTTATTGAGACAATTATTGTTTACTGATACAAGTCTTACTAAGTAACCCACAGCTGGAGAGAGAAGAGGTGGATTGATACCCTTCCCAAGGGTATTTGTGCATAAGTAAATATAACAAACCCAACTGAAACTGGTAGTTGGCTCCCTGATAAAAAATTCTGAGCCATTATCCATTACACCACCCACACATCCAAGCTAACAGCACCTGGTATTCCCAAGCAGTTACCCATCTAGGTACTGACCTGGCTCGATGTTGCTTAACTTCAGTGATCGTATAGAAACTCAACTCTCTGATTACCAACTCCAAGCCATTATCCATTAACCACCCACACATTTAAGCTTACAGCACCTAGTTAATCACTTGGGATCAGTTGACTAGATATTTTGTGAACAATTTATCCTGGATCATTCTATTTGAGCAGTGAACTAAAAAAAAAAAAAACAATTTGTACATGATGATGATGAAAGCAATGAGTGTTTTGTAGATGATGATGATGAAAGCAATGATAGTTGTGGAGTAACTGACAAGATATTTCACTGATATAACACAAAAATATCCCAAATACCAAGTGCTTAACTATTAAAACATATCAATACAGGTTTGGTTTGGTTTATGGCATATCAACACCACAATGGGTTATTTAATGCCAACAAGATTTTTATTGCTGGTAATATTTTTTTCAAAAATGTATTGCTGGTATTAAAACTTATTTTTACACTTTCATAGTGTTTTGACTTCAGTTTGGGGGTCAACTATTTGCCGATAGCTAAGACCCTAACAGGATCTACCACCCTAGGCCCAGGTGGACCTGGGAACACCAGCAGTTAAGAGGTGATTCCATGCTCCTCAAAACCTCCTGATCAGAGGCCTTGCTGTTGGATGTAGTTTATCGTCTTACCCAGGACAGTTCAGTTACATCACAGATTTTCCTGAAACTGACAGTTCAGCATCTATTTTCAAGACAAAAGCTTCTTCAGGCTTTTGGCAGAAATTCTTTGGGTTGAACATAGTGCCATGCAGACTTTAAGGCCAGTTGACTGTCAGTTCACAATAATGAGCATTCAATGTCTGATCACAAGCAATATCTAACATTTCCAGAATCTATCTTACACATTTATAAATCTAGCATTCCTCCATGCACTTAATATTTCTGCCACATCTAGTGTGGTGCTTCTGCTATATATTTAGATACTAGCAGTAGAGCCCGGCGTTGCCTGGGGATGTAACAGTAAGAGATAGATCAAGTATCGACCATCATAAAAACTGAAAAATAAAATTGACAAAGATTATTGTTGAAGGTTGACAGACACGCATGTCTTAATTATTTTTTTTTTTTTTTATGAATTGGTCAAACCCAAGCTCAAACAAAAACATTGTTTTCAATCGTTATGAGTCTACCGATTGAATAGAATTTTATTATAAACAATTGTCTTTGTAAATGGAATTTTTAAAGCATTCTGAATGTAAAAATAAAGAAAAAAGTGTGCAAGACAATAAGAAACACTACCTGCCTTAAGAAAAGTGAAGTTTGGTTGAAATCATTTGAAAAATGTGGGAAATCTGATCCCATATATAAGCGAACACACACACACACACAAACAACCAACCAACCAACCAGGGTTTTATAATAAGTATAACTCGATATGAGTTGTCCCTCTTTCATTAATGCCGCTTAATCGTGTTTTCAAATTGATTTCGTGCAAAAACAATTGTGTTTTTCCAATTTGGGCACCGTCAAAACCACCGAAATAATTTTTACGTAGTCCTGTGAAGTTTTGTTGAAATCGGTTGAAAAATGTAGGAAATCCGATCCAATATATAAACGAACAGGCACACACACACACACAACCTGGGTTTTATAATAAATATGATTCTAGAAATACAAAGAAAGATCTGCAATGTTATTGGTCCTGATATAGCATCTCAGCTTCAGTCACTTTCCAACCAGTGTAATATAGCTTCCTTGTGAGTTTTCTATAAATATTTTCATGGCAATTGTTCTGATGGGCTTTTCTCTTTGGTACCTAAACTTTTACAACTTAAGTACAGTATTAGACTAATGGTGAGGCCACATCATTTTACAGTTGAAATTGCTAGATGCAACCGTAAGTTCTATGCTAAAAGTTTCTTCTCTTGCACTTCTCATTTGTGGAACTCTTTTCTGGTTTCTTGGTTTCCAGTCAAATTTGATCTTCAAAAATTTAAATGCAAAGTCAATTGTTATCTTCTGTCTTCTTAATTCATGTTTTTTTTATTGTTTACTCTCCTTAATGGTCCTCTGACATTTGGCCGATGGACATTTAACTGAAAATGTAGTAGCATACTTACATGTAAGTCACACTCTTTATCATAATGTGCTACATATACTTATATTTATTTACTGTATTAACTTATAATTTTTCAGTTTTCTTTTTTTTTTGATAGGCTTTCTTAAAAATCTATTTTGTATATATTATATTTTACTTCAATTACTTTAGGTATTTTGAGAAAAAGCACATTTTACTACAGCAAAAATCTTAAGCTTTTATGATATGAAAGATCTTTCAATTTCATTTTTAATGATCATTATCTTAAAGAGATAAACTAGCTTTTATCTTAATGTTAAATATGAATTTAAATAATTAGGTGCTACACTCAAATATTTTTAAAAATACTAATTTCAATAAACAAATATTGAAATAAGAAAACTTTTAACCTTAGATTTAGTAATTTAATCACTTGAAATTCAGTGGTAATTATTAGTCCTATTCTACCTTATAATACTGCAAATTAAAATACTTAAAGTATTGCTTGTTACTATTTTTACTTGTACTTTTTCATACCCACCTGCAACAAAATCTTTCTCTTAAAACAATAGGAAAACAGCCTTCTCAAGTTCAATGTTATCACTGTTTTTAGTATTGATAGTATTGGGAGGTGGGGAGTTTCCTTTTATGGAATCTATCACGACAACCTACTTTTGGAACTTTCCAGTATCACAATGTATATACAATGTTTTCTTTCTTTTGTACATTACAAGATTTCAGTGACAAAAGATGAACATGCATATTGCATATTAAGGCGAGATGATAAGCTTGTCTTTGGTGCACTTATGATATTCCAATTACCAATGTCACACACTGGTGTTGGTTTACTTCCAAGTATAATTGCTAATCTTTGTTTATACACTTCCGAAATGAAAGCAATAATATACTTCCATTAGTTCAGAACTGATCTCTAATAAGATCTGAGATGGATCTAATCTGCAGATAGATCTCAAATCAGTTAACCTCCAAAAGCCATCCATCAGCTTGTTTATATTTACAACAAACCATTCCATTTACATTAGTGAAAAGGTTTTGCTAGCCCTTAGCTCTATTCAGATTATATAAGAGTGAATATATATTAGGAATTTCCTATATAAAGCAATTCTGTTTGAATAGGCAATACTTTCAGGCCTCCAGTAGAAATAGTTAAGGCATCATATTCTAGAGAAAAATTGCATGTTCACTAAGATGAAACTTAGCAATCAGTATTTAAAAAAAATAAAAACCTAACAAAAAAAGCTCCCAATTCCCAGGCAGTCAGTCATCACTTGGATAAATTGCTCATATAGTATTCATACAATTGTCTTTACCTTTGTTGTTTATAGTCCAGCATTTAAACAGCACTTTGAAAGTGGCCCTTTGCTTTCTTTCGAGTATATACTGACTGAATTCACTGTAAGCCTCAATGAAGGATGAAGACGAAACGAGAGAGAGAGAGAAAGAAAGAGAAAGAAAAAGAGAAAGAAAGAGAGAGAGAGAGAAAGAAAGAGAGAGAGAGAGAAAGAGAGAGAGAGAAAGAAAGAGAGAGAAAGAAAGAGAAAAAAAGAAAGAGAGAGAGAGAGAAAGAAAGAGAGAGAAAGAAAGAGAGAGAGAGAAAGAAAGAGAGAGAAAGAGAGAAAAAAAGAGAGAAAGAGAGAAAAAAAGAGAGAAAGAGAGATGAAAGTTGTTCTTTTCTTAATCTGCCTTTTGTCTCTGTATGATGAAGCATAAATTTCAAAGCAGAATACATCAACAAATTGTTGGAGAAATGTATTCTCAGATACTCTGGTGCAATATGTACAAAAGAAAGGGCATATTCCATTTTATCTTTCATCTTCTTTGACCAAGCATCCTTTGGGCAATTCCATACTGATTCGCACATTGTTTCAACCTTATCAAATATTAAGCACTGCAAAAGCCAACAATTGCTGACCAGGAAGAGAGAACATAATGTGAAAGTGTGGGGGGTAAGAAAAGATCAATACTTAGGAGACTTCATAAGACGATCTGATTTAGAGAAGGCCTTTTTATGCTCACATCACTCGATGTAGATTTGAACTGAATTCACAAAGAAAATGTCTCCGGTGCTTAGATTTCTATTACTATTAATTCCAGACTAATTCTTTTCTCTTAAAATCATAACGCTCAGGTCATTTCCTGCACTATGACTTATTTAAATAACAAAGATCAAAAATTAAAAACTAACCTCCAACAGAATTTGAACGCTTTTTCCTATATTCTTAAATATGACATGTATGATGTCTTTACCAATTTGAAACCAATCATTAAAACAAATCTAGTCATGTTCTTTATTATCTAATTTATTTTACATCAGGAGTCTCAAACAGCTTGTGGGAATATCTTTCTGCAGCTTGAAGGATTTTTTTTATTTTGAGATTTTATAGCTGGCCATAAGTATTGGTAACTGTTAAACAGATAAGTGAAAAGTGGCTGGATTTTTTTATTTTTTTTTATCTTCTCTAAATTTTTATGATTACCTCTACCAATGCCACAGTTCTACATCATCTAGAAAATCCTGTCAATGATGGTTTGTGGTGTTTTACGGCATATCAACCTCAATGGGTTATTTAATGCTGACAAAGTTTTTATTGTTGGTAATATTTTGTTTTGTCAAAAATCTATTTCTGGTAATAATGTTTTCCTTCAAAAATGTATTGCTGGTAATATTTTTTTCCTCAAAAATGTATTGCTGGAAATAGTATTTTTTTCTTCAAAAATTAATTGCTGATAATAATTTTTCTTTTTTTACAAAGTATTCCTGGTATTAAAACCCATTTTTACCCCAGTTTCAGGGTTAACTATTTGCCCATAGCTGGGACCCTAACAAGTTATCACCCTGGGTCAGGGTGGACCTGGGAACACCAGCAATTAAGAGGTGGTTCCACCCTCCTCAAAACCTCCTGATCAGAGGCCTTGCTGTTGGATGTAGTTTATCATCTTACCCAGGACACAGATGTAGTTTATTGTCTTACC